TTCGCTTTCTTTTCGGGATGCTTCATTTCCACTTTATTATCTCTTTATGTTTTTCACCCATGACGATAAAGGGCGTTTTGATGTATCAGGACACCCTGTGGAAGAAAATTGCAACCACTGCTTCAAAGAGTGAAAAAATAAAATAAATCCAACCCCCCAAACCTAGCCCCTTTCCCCCCAATTTGGTTGAGTTTCTTTTTATGCAGAAACTTGGATTTGGAAAAAAAAGTTGCACTTTTCATAAAGATGTATCCTGCATCCTATGCAATAGTTATGAGATTGCTAGCTGGACGTATGATCTTGTAACTGCTGCGGATCTACATTTGTCGTTATTAACAACCAAACATGACCCTCCCAAACCTATCTTTCTAGCTGGTTGTTGTTGTTAACTGCTCTTGAGTTGGTCTGGACTCATGGCAACCCTGTGGATGAGACGTCTCCAAGGCCTCCTGTCCTCTACTACTCTGCTTAAGTTTTGTAGATTCAGGCCCAAGACCTCCCTGATGGAGTCCATCTATCTGGCATGTGGTCTTCCTCTCTTTCTGCTGCCTTCTATCTTTCCTAGCATGATTGCTTTTAATAATGAGTTGTGCCTTCTGATGTTGTGGACAGAGCACAAGAGTTTTGTCATCTCTGTTTCATCATCTTGGTTTCCAGATCAGGTTCTGGTTTAATCTGTTCAAGGACCCATTCGTCTGTCTTTTTGGCCATCCACAGTATCCTCAGCACTCTTCTCCAACACCGCATCTCAAAGGATTTGATTTTCTTCCTATCTGCTTTCTTCCCTGTCCAGCTCTCACATCTGTACATGGTGATGGGGAATACAGTGGTCTGGACAATTCTAACTTTAGTGTTCAGTTGTATATCTTTAAGATCTTGTCTAGCTCTTTCATGACTGCCCTTCCCAATCCTAGGACGTTATCACACGGGGCAAATCTGCTGGTTAATCCACACAAATCCCAAACAGAAACTGGATTTGTGCCCCATGTTTTCACACGACGTCACACAGAAACTGGACAGAAAGTGGACAGAAACTGGTGTTAACCGCGATCTTTTGAAATTCGGTTGTTTGGAGGAAATGCAAATGCGAAATTAAGGTAATTTCGCATTTACTGTAATGTGAAAAGCAAATGCGCATTTGGGAGCATTTCCCTGCTTTTCCCATGGTTCCAGCGAGCGTTCCTCTATCTGCACATGTGCAAGAAGCTCATTTCTAGTACATTTGTGGACTTTTCTCACTTGTGTGTGAACGTTAAATGCGCTTACTGTAAATTCGCAATTAAGGTAATTACGTGTGAAAGCTGTTTGTGGAATCAAGGTTCATTTTCAGTTTATTTTCAGAATGCCTCATTTCCACTTTATTTTCGCTTTCTGGCCCACGTGTGATAACATCCCTAGTCTTCTTCTTCTTTCTTGACTGCAGTCTGCTTTTAGCCAGGCAGCACCCCAGTTCAAGGATGTTCAAGGTGCTGGAGATCAAAAATGTTCAAGGTGCTGGAGATTGGGAATTGATGTCTGCAATGCTCCCCTGGTCATGGAATACATTGAGACAAGCAGTTGCCACAGACCCCAAGAGGGATCTCCCCAGCTGCCTGTTCTGAATGCACCCTGGGACCCAGAGAGGGCTGCAGACATCACTCCCAGTGCTCCTATCTGCAGTGCCTCAGAAACTCTTTGCTTGGGGTGCTTCCTGAATGAAAAGATAGGGTTTTTTTTCTTTTTTGGAGTGGGATGGTGGCACCATTTTAAATGGAACAGCAACAATGGAGGTCTGTCGTTGTAGTGTCATCATGCAGAATCTCAGCCAACGTGTTTTGTGTGGGAACATATTTTGCAGAAATTGAATTTTGTAAGTTTTGCACACAAGAAAACAACAACTTTTTGTGAAATTCTTGGTAAAACAAATCCCCAAATGAAAATCGCAACAACCCACACTGAAAATATGTGCACAAATCCCCTCTTGTGGTCTCACAAGATCATTACAAGAAGGTGTTGCAATAGTTTGAACCTTGGACTATGACTCCGGGTTCGAATCCTAGCTTGCCTATTAAACTCACCAGGCGACCCTGGGCAAGTCACTATCTCGCAGCCTCAGACGATGGCAATGGCACCCCCCCTCTGAAAAAACTTGCCAACACAACCCTATGATAGGTTGCATTAGGGGTGTCATAAGTCACAAATGACTTGAAGTCACATAGCAGCAATAAAAACAACAAAGTGATCTCACTCAGTAGAGAGAAATATTTGCACTGAA